TGGAAGTGGGAAGGCATCTCTGGCTCAGCTGTGCTCCACAGTGGGTGTGATCAGCTCAACAGAGCAGCTGCCCCCTTGTCAGGAGGACATTCTGTATGTTCATCTTTTTAAAGAGAAAAATGTGAAGGAGTTTTTGGGTATAGTTTAACCCATCATATCCACCAAAGCAAAATATTTTATGTCTTATTGTTTGCTAAAGCTAGGATAAGCAAACTATACTCCAAAGGCCTATCATCTGTCTTGTATGGCACGTGGGCACTGCTGGAATGGCTGGGGACCAAGTATCCCCTTCTGTCTTGTCTCTCCTTTCAGTGCCTGGCTACCTGGCCAGTTGTAGCTTGCTGTAGGCCAGGGCCCACACTGGTTGCCATCTACACATTGGAGTCTCTATTATTAGCAGCTGTTGGACACCAAGCAGAGGAATCTCAACTCAAGATGTGGTGACTTAGCAGATCACCTTGCCTCCTGCCAGTTAACTTGAGATACCTAGAGGAGAGAAGGGCACACAAGCATCTATCTGGGTGTCACTGAGGCAGAGAGTGAGACTGATGACAGCAGGCTCTCCCTGCCATCCTTGACCCTACCCTTCTGCTCTGCCAGCTTTTCCTTTCTTTGGCTAGTCACTCTTGCCCTGAGAACATATCCAGCAGGTGGCAACTGGGTATGACACACCTCATCACTCAGGATGGCCCCCTCAAGGCAAGTGAGGAGGGGCAGACCAGGAATTTTCTCTTTTATTGTGTAAATTCCTATGAATTATCTTCTATGTTGCTTATTAACATGTGAAGCCTGGAATATTTACTATCTTTTCCTTTATAGAAAAAGTTTGCTGACCCCTGCACTGATGCAAAAGGTTTTTGTAGGTGGTATTTTCCTTTCCTTTGTGAAGCTAACCTTTGAGAGGCTGCGATGGTTTAACGTTATCATTCAAGAGCTGTATATAGCACTGTAAGTCCTGGGCAGTCCTGGACTGAAGAACAATGTGCCTGACCCACTCTGTGTCCCAGGGTCCTTTCCTTTCAGTGAAGAATGCCGCTGTTTTGCTTGTGCCTCATGGTCCCAGGTGTTTTCTTCTCTCGAAGATGATCTGTTACTGTGGACAGTGTAGCTCAAATCTAGGGAGGCTTGTTTTCATAATAAACACACAAATCCAGGTCCACAGCTTTCAACTGGAATTAGATGCCATCTTAGAACCATGACTCTTTGTGGCCAGATTCAATAAGGGCCCAGGCTAAAGCTTTGCTCTGTGTGGGAAAGTCTATTTGATTGTAAAGTTTCCTCTGAGATGTTATTGCTTATTTGTACTGAGGGGCTCCCACAATGATCCTATAGAGGTTAAGTTTTTCCTTTTCTGTTTTAGTGTAGTATATCATGGGGACAATTCTATAGTCCTGGAGAAAGTTAATGCTAGAGAGATTACATTTTATGTATTTACCTGAAATATTGTGTTGGCTAGAGTTCATTCTACAAAGAAGAGATTAGCTTTGTAAATTTGCAAAGCTTTGTAAAGTTGCTGAGGGACTGGCACCTGCATCTGTTGCTAACATCTGCCTTTCTGTGTTCCCCAATGTGGCTTTACTACTGGATAGAGGTTCTCTGCCTACCCTGGACTAACTCATGAGCTCTCACTAGAAAAACCTCTTTCCCAAGCATTCACAATGGAGCTACTACCTCCTGGGTTAAGGTCAAATTTGTCCAGTTGTCTAGAGAGGTCTCTGCACTCAACACTGTTCTGTACAAGATGCCAGGTACTGGGCTGGACCTGGCTCTTGGGAGCTTGTGTTTCTTACTTCTCAGGACCTCTGGATGTTATTCACATTTCTCTAGCAAACGTGGTCATCACCTACTGTTCGTAAAGTCTCCAGTTTTCATTGTTCACATTTGCAAATAGAACTTCATCTTATGAGCAAGACCTTGATTTAAAATTGGCACATTCAAAGCCCCCTTCATTCAAAGGAGGTGGTAGAACAGAACTTCCTTCTTGGCTTTGTAAAACACAGGGAAAATGCTGAATGTGGTTAGATGACAGACAAAGGATATACTTTCCCACCAAAATACTGAGGGTAGGCTTGGTGCCTGTGGCTCAAGCGGCTAAGGTGCCAGCCACATACACCTAAGGTGGCGGGTTCGAATCCCCAGCCTGGGCCTGCCAAACAACAATGATGGCTGCAACCAAAAAATAGCCAGGTGTTGTGGCGGGCGCCTGTAGTCCCAGCTACTTGGGAGGCTGAGGCAGGAGACTCACTGGAGCCCAGGAGTTGGAGGTTGCTGTGAGCTGTGATGCCATGGCACTCTACCCAGAAGGATAGCTTGAGGCTCCGTCTAAAAAAAAAAAAAAATAAATAAATAAATAAACAAAATATTGAGAGTAATAATTTATAACTATTTAAAAATATATCAAGAAAAAAAATAAAAATAAATGAAAATATATCAAGGCCTTTGGCAATTAAATTTCCTATGTTCCTGGAACTTATCAAAGATGATTAAGTCATTTTTGTTGACATGATCAAATATTTGGAACACAAAGGCAACAATCAAGAAGAGACCATTCCATAAGATAGAAACTTGAATTACATTTCCCTAAATGAATTTAATAAACCATGGTATTTTTTTAATGCAGGGATGGTTAATGTACAGATCTGGTTACTTCTCAAGGCCTAAGAGAATGGCCTAAGAAAATGAAAGAACCTCAGCAAGGAAATGAAAGAATCTGAGCTGTGTCTGGTTGACCTAGAGAGCGTACATCCTTTGGGTAGTGAGCACTTCTTTCAGCTTCAGTTACTCTGGCTGCCCAGGTGTACTTGAGCTCCACAGGGTTCAAGTACAGTTCACTTTACTTTGGCTTTTTGGTTTACTTTCATGTGTAGACTTGGGTTCTTTGCCCAGATTGCCCTCAAGAAATTAAGCTGACAATTTTTATGTTTAATTTTCCTCCAGGAATGGCTATAATCTGGCTATACTTGTCTATTGATCTTTTGGTTTTAGGCTTTTGTATTGACCTTTCATTTTTGTTTTCGGCATTCCTTTATGGAGACACTTATGTCAAAAGCCAAAGCCTTAATACCTTTGTAGGGTAGGTGCTCCTGAGCTGAAAATAGCAGAGTAAGGAAAGGTAAAAGAAGAATTAAACCCAGAAATTTCTGATTCTGGGTTAGTTGAGGTAGGCACACTCTACCCTGTCTCTCCCACTAAATGCAGGTATAAACTCAAACAGAGTACATGGTGCAGTGATTTGAATATGGGAAAGTAAATGGTTGCAAGAGGATAAGAAAAGAACTCAGAATTCAAAGTGTCACACAACCAGTAGTTGAAGGAAATCAGACTTACGTTCCTCTTGTCCTGTACTGAAAGGAAAGAAAGAACACTCAAATATATTTAGAAAAAATTTTATCAAATGAAGGGGCACTTTTCTTGATCATTCTCAATTAACTAGAAAAGTAATCACAACCTGTGTGAGCTCTTATTTTTATTGAGGTTTAAACACAACTAAGAAGTTATATTCTTTTGGAGAGAGAAGAGAATGTTTGTGTGTGTGTGTTTGTGTCACGATTAGTTTATCTGATTGCCCTTGAGTCTGTTACAACCTATGGAGAAGATTAGATGCATAGTTGGTAGACTCAATGGAATGTGGACCCAGGAGGCTTGAGGAATGCCCAGGGGCTTTGGAAACCCAGAGTTCAGCTGACCATTAGGGAGACAAGCCTGATGTTCTAGAGATAACCCCAGGGTGAGTGTTGAGCTCAGACTTAGACCTAGTACTATCAGACCCTAAGAACGTTAGCAGACTGCCAGCCTGGATGTAGTATGGCGGAATATCATTCCTTAAGCCAGGAGATTCTTTTGTATTTCACTTCAAAGTGCATGTTAAAACTGTTCCTTTCTGTATGTGTTTGAAGCTGACACACATATTTTTTAAACAGGTAATTTCATGCTCTCACAATGGGGCATAAAGTGGTCGTGTTTGACATTTCTGTCATCAGAGCCTTGTGGGAAACCCGAGTCAAGAAGCACAAAGCTCGGCAGAAGAAGGAGGAAGAAAGGCTTGAGAAGAGTGCATTGGAAAAGTAGGTGTTTCCAGAACCCAGTCTTTAGCTTGTTCAGGGAGTAGGGATTAGGGCAGGCAACAACAGGAGAGCCATGGAGGAGGATGCTTTTCTTCTGCAATTTCCCACTCTCGGTGACGGTTTCCTCGTTAGACTTCAGAACCTCACACTGTGGCCCAAGATGGACACTGGATTCCTGTAACAGGAACACCCATAATTATAAGGACTTGCACATATCCAGGCACTGTGCTAGGCCCAGGGAAGACAGAGTTGACACAATAACTTCCTCTGCAATACATGCTGGAGAAAACTGCTGTGCTGGCTTTCCCTGAGCTAGCTCACTGGGCTGCCTGGTGCATGCCACACCAGGGCAGCTCTGTCGTGTATTCTGGCTCTCCCTTGTTGAGCTGAATTCTAGATAAGATTCATTATGTTGGTGTCACTTTTATCTGGGTCCATATGATGTAATTTGACTAACATATAAACGTGTGGAATATGAGTAAAAGAGTGCTTTGAAAAAAAACTACATTTATCATAAACACATTGATAACAGCCATACAATTAGATTAGCTCTGTATGAGGTTAATAAAAGTATGATAAGCTAGAGAAGGTGCGTGTTCGGGTGGCTTTGCATGTGTCTACAATTTTTATTTCCTCTACAAAATCCCACACTGGAGCTCCTGGATGATGCGTTATGGGTATTGTTTTTACCAAAACGGCACAGTGCCGTTCTGATTGGCAGACTCTCAAAGGAGGTCCCTGGCCCTATGTCAAGTTGGCAGATGGTGGTATATTTCTGCGTTTTAAGTTAAAAACAAAATATGTAAGGCATGAGCGTATCTATATTCTTGGTTATTCACTTACAGGAGATTTTTGGATGGAATGAAAATGAATGCCTTTTCTGGTCATGCTTGATAGTGAAGCTGCTACTGTTTGAATCACGGTGTTTCTAGGTGTTTATCATCATCCGTAATTTACAGATGAGAAAGTTAAGAACCTCAGTAACGTTCCCGGGTTCCCCAAGCTGGTAAAGGGAGGATTTGGCCAAGCTCTTCCCTCTATCAGGGGTGTCCAGCCTGTGGCCTGTGGGATACACGCAGATTATTTGAGGACTGTTTTGCTTCTCTGTGGTGTTGGATATCATGATATTGAAAAAACGAAAAGTATGCACGGACCTATTTTATTTTAACTCTTTAGCTTTCATTAGTGTTTATGTATGTATTTACTCTGTAGCCCAACACAACTCTTATTCTTCCAATGTGTGGCAGAAGGTTGGATGCCCCTGCCTGTACTCACAGGTAATTGAAACATCTTTTCAGTTGGCACTAATTCAAGATTATCCAACATGATGTGAATTTAAGAATTGGAACTGTCAAACTGTCCCCTGGCAACAGGTCTGGGAGACTGACGCTCATACAAGTTGCATAAGTCTCAGGGCCCTGTGAGCCTGAAGTGGCTCTCAGCCTGGCTTCAACTTCTCCCCACTCCTCACTCTGGGGTCACTCTGGAGTAGAGCAGGCCTGCTGCATGGAGACCCAAGCCCTGGGGTGGGGGAGGCTTAAGGAAGTATATGTAGCCAAAGTAACTTCCTGAGGTTCTTGGAACAGGAGCCATCTGCAGAGCTGAGTCTGAAAGCTGTGTTCTCCAACCTGCTTTGGAGTGGTAACTGCCCTGCCCCTTCAGCTATGTCACTGTGGTGTTAAACATCTTCCCACAGCTCTCGTGTATAGGATTGACCCTGAATTAGGCTCGGTGTCACTGAGCTTGTCCTGTGTCTCATCTTAACCTAAGATGAAAACCTCTCAGGGATTTGTTAGGCACTTTGAGCTCCAGATAAGAAAAACAGCCCCCAAGTTGGCTGGGGCGATAAGGAGGAATGTGAGTTGAAGAAAATAACAGTTAGTTTCCCAGGACCTCAGAAATTTGCCTTCTTCACAGGGGTTTCTGAGTTTCCATACTATGATTCATACTGTGATTACTAGTACTACTTAAAGGTTAACTTGGTTTCTTGGGATCTATTTCCTGGGCAGAAATTAATGTCTTGAAAAACTGATGAATGTCTGATTATAAAAGGTAGCTATCTGGTTAATGTAAATTTCCCAACACAAGTCAAACCCTCCAGCTTGTTTTGTTACCTCACTTGGTAGTATTTCATCTTGTAATGCTATATTTGTTCCATGCAGTATATGCCAGCATTTAAAAGTTATAAGTAGAGATAAAATATAGAGTATCAGTCTGACTTGTTCATTAAGGGAAAAATAGAAGAGCTATTGTTAGGCTTTCAGTGAGGAATTTCTTGTCCAGTGAGGCTGTTTGCCATCTGGGATTATGGGTTCATTTCTTAAGGAAAAAGTATTTTGTTTGGACATGTATTGATTTAATTAGCAGAACTCTAATGGCCTTGTTTTGTATGTTTGTCTCATATTTGATGTTCTACTTAAATTGGTTCAAGAGGAAGATTTCCTCTTTATGTGGGCAATAAAGTACAAAAGCCATGGCATTTTATTTATTTTAATTACTCTTAAGAGAATGGAGTTTTAAAAAATGTTTCTATTCTCATCTTGCCTTTCCTCATCAGGTTTCGGAGGAAATAAGACGTAAAATATTTAAGAAAGAAATACAAAACAGGATAGTCATATAATGATTTGTAATGGGGTATGTCTAATTTCCTTTTTTCTCCGTTTTATGTTGGCTCTATCAAGATACGTGAAATATTTATATCAATTTGTAATTTGTGATACAGGAAAGATGCATGGTATAGGGCTTACCTGGTATCATGGCATTACACTGCCAGAATCTACCTTCAGGTTCAGTCTAAGAAATGAGGAAAGTGAATACAAGCACCAGTGGCAGTGGCTGTGCTGCTGATTGCTAAAATTTTGAAGAAACTGCTTCTCAAAGAAGGCCAAGGAGCATGTCTCAGACTAGGGTATGTCCCTGTCCTTGGCTGGGACAGTCAGATCTAAATCTACAGATAGATATTAAAAATTTATTCTTATCATATGGTTGTGAAAATATTTAAATCACAAGGAAAAATTTATTAGGAATGAAAAGCAACAATTTCAAGCTCCTGCAAAATCTGCCAGAGGAGACTACTTCTAATTCTTTCAGCACTTTCTTCTGCCATTAAATACATGTCCCTTCATGTGCTGATATTTTTAAATGTATTACTTTTCTTACATTACTTAAGGACTTCATATGCTTTATGTTTAATTGACCGCTGGGTGATCTCCCCCAGCTCACTGCACAGTGATTGAGACGTATGTGGCCATGCCAGCCAGTATTATCAGCAATTACTTTTTTCAAATGTTCCTGCTTCCCTCAGCTTAATGGTAAACGTGAAACTCCAGAAATATTCAAAGTGGTTTCTCTAGAGCAAGATGTCTGATTAAGAAGATGATAGTTGCTCATAGACCTGGGGAGCCAGCCCTGCAGAAATCTAGGAACAAGCTTCCAGGCAGGCATAATAGTAGGTGCAAATGCCCTGAGGCAGGAGTTTCCTGGATAGTCAATGAAAAGCAAGGATACCAGTGTGACTAGGTCAGAACAAACCAGAGGGTGGGGGCAATGAGGTCAGACTAGCCAGAGGAAGGACCCAGGTCTGTAGGGCCTTACAGGTTGTATGTGTGAGATGGGAAGCCAACAAGAGGTGTGGGCAGAGGCATAACACAACAAACATTGTAACAGGCTCACTCAAATGGCTGGGTGGGTGTAGGCCACAGGGAGGCCAGGGTGGTGGCAGTAAGCAGATGATACGGGCTTAGATTAGGATGGAAGCAGTGAAGAAGATGCAAAGTGGCAAGACTGTGATAGAACTGACCGTGTACGTTGATGGATTTGATATGGGTGTGAAAGTAAGCACAGAATCAGAGAGATGGGATTTTTGGCCAGAGGAACTGGCAACCTTTTACTGAGCTGAGGGAAGAAGCGTGTTTAGTGAGTGAAGATCAGGAGTTTGTGTTGGAACTTGTTAACTTGAGATGCCTCTAGACATGCAGACCAAGATAGTGGAAGGCAATTTGATATAGAGGAAATCTTGGCTGAAGATATAAACTTGGGCATGGTCAGCATACAGCCGTATTGACGGCGAGGAGGCTGGAAGACATCTAAAGAGTGAGTGTAGCAGAGAAGAAGCCCTTGGAAGTCCAAAGGTTGAGAAGGTGAGGGGGAGGCACAGTGTCCAAAGAGGTGGGATGGTCACCAGCAGAATGCATTGTCCTGAGGCGACATGATAAGCAAGCTGCAGGGAGGAGCAAGTCACTGGCTGTGTCAGGTGCAAAGGTGGGTTAGATAAGACATGGACTTGGATTTGACCACTGGATTTAGTGAAGTGGTGGTCACTGATGACCTTAACGAGAGTAGTTTCACAATTGGTCTTAGCCAAAAGGCTAAAAAGTGATTGATGAGAACAGTTTCAAGAGAGGTAAGGATGGCTGGGTGCAGTGGCTTGTGTCTGAATCCTAGCATTTGGGGAGGCCTGGGCAGGAGGATTGCTTGAGCCCAGGAGTTCAAGACCAGCTTAAATAATATAGCAAGATCCTATCCCTACAAAAAAATAAATAAATAAGGAGAGAGAAGCAGGAAAGAAGCAAGCCGCTGAAGTGATTTCAATAGAGAATATGTTGAAGGCTTCAAGTGGAAAAGAAATCCTGAAATAGAGAAAAGCCCACCAGGTGCACAACACTGTTCTAGCAGCTGTGTGTGCATCAGAAGGGCAGCCAGATACGCCTAGTGCCATCATGCAGCTTAGGATCAAGCTGGGAGGATAAGCCGTAAGTGTGAGAAGCTATAAAATGGTAGGGCAGAAAATTGGCAACGATGGTTTATGGGAGGCTGAGTCCTGAATCAGCTCCTGTTTCTGGCTGGACCTTGGTTCATTTACAGGGAGTAAAGTTTCCCAAGGTGGCTGATGGATGACATTATTCCAAAGTCAGGGGTTTTATAAACTCAGGCTCCTCTCTATTTCTATTCAAATGCACTTGAAAGATCAACAGTTCCTGGGGCCTTGAACTTTGTAAAAGCTTAGGTTGGCACAATATAATTTCAAAAGAAATTGCAACTGAATGCATAGGTAATTTTGGTAGAAATATTGGCCAGAAATTCCATCTAACTCACTTCCTCTACTTTTCTAAACAAAGTTCCTTGTAATTCACAGTTCAGGATTTCCCCTGCCTTCCCCCAACACACACACAGGGGGATATCGGCTCTGTAGAGTCAGGAGGCCTGGTTGGCTTCTCTAGGCAGGCGACAGCTATTCCTCCGGACAGTGACTGTGGCTTCTGCTGCCCACTGTAGGATAAAGGAGGAGTGGAACTTCGTGGCCGAGTGCAGGAGGAAAGGCATTCCCCAATCTGCGTACTGCAAGAATGGCTTCGTAGACACCAATGTGCAGCTTCTGCAAAAGATTGAAAAGAACATTCTCACCAAGCAGAGTTCACTTGTCAAGGACAGAGGCAAACGGAGCAGTGAGTTTGTGCTTGAACTTTCAGGGGATCACTGGAAGGTGAGTGGATGTGTTTCTCTGACTGTGGCAAATTAGTGCTTGCTGCAGCTGCTGTGGCTGATGACTGCTGCTCAGCTGAGCTGGAGGCATTGGCCTGGGCTCTTGCTTTTAGAGGGCTTTTCAGAGGGTGGAGAGGAGGCAATTATGTGCTCTGAATCAGGCTGTCCTGTGTCTTCTCCATGAAACTCAGTGTAGTCCTGGCAGCAGCGGTGGTATCCACTTGAGTCCCTCTCAGCCTTAGCAGCTGGGACCTTACAACCCTCCCCAGGTTTAATGACAGTCTTTAAAGGTGCTTCATTCTGTGATTTTTCCTCCAGCATTTAAAATAACTCTTTGGCTTTTAAAAAATATACTTTAAATGACTGAGCCTCCCATTCATCTAACGCCCCCAGTGGGCAGTGACTTACTGATGTGTCGCGGTGTTGCTGATGCTAGGCTCTGGGCAAAGGAATTTCAGGGACCCTGTATCCAGCTTTCCCCTCATGACATTCTGAGAACACAGCAAAGACACCTCCCTCTTTCTTTCCTCAAGTGTTTACAGGTGGTGTCCTCGCTCCTGCTCCCCTGCTCGCTTTGCTTGGGGAGGTGTCTCCAGGGCTTGGCTGTGAACTGGCATTCTCTGGTTCAAGAAGCACCTGGCCGTGCAGAATAAGTCAGCACGTTTGGAGAAGCTGCTGTGGGCATGGGTACTCAGGCCATTGCCCATTGCATTGGGACAGGGTGCTCTGGGACCTGCCCTCCATCTTCTTTTTTTTTTTAATTTTAATGAATTTTTTTATTAAATTATAACTATGTACACTGATGCATTGATGGGGTACAGTGTACTGATTTGATATACAATGTGAAATGCTTATATCAAACGGATTAACATATCCATCACCTGGCTTACTTATTTGTTGTGGTAAGACAATTAGGCTCTTTTCTAAATAGTTTTGAGATGTACCACTGCGTTATGCACGTTGTGGCTGAAAGTACTTTGGGATGGGAAACAGAATACTTGGTATTATCTGGGGGCTGGTCTTCGAGAGTCCTGTTCCTGGGGCAGTTTACCTTTACCTGTTTTATCGCCAGTGCCTGTGAGTATTAAATGCGTGAATATTCTGTAATTCCAAAGATGCAAGATTATTGCTGTAAAACCTCTTAAGTATTCCTCCTGCACCTCGTCTCTGGGACAGTAGGTTTGTGGATGCTACCTATTCTGGGACAAGAAGAAAGGCACATGTGGATTTTCTTGGAAGTCTGGAGACACTGGTTTGCAGGTCATTACAAGGAGTGTTTGGCACACTTAGTTTTTGAGGGCGTCACTGCAGAGCTCCCATCTCACTGGTGCCGCCCCTCCACTCAGGAGCACATATTTGTGATTTATCTGGAGCTGGTAAGAAGGATCTTCTCAGTTCCTGAGATAGAAAAGTCTCAGCCCTTCTCATCTGACTGCCACCTCCTCTGCCCCGGCCATGCCTGCAGGACCCCAGTCCAGGGGCTCTGTTTCACCCCCTCCCCTGAATAGGCCTCAGTCTCCTTTGAGGGAAGGCAGAGGCAGTTGATCTGTGCCATGGACGGGGATCAGGTTTCTGGTCCTTTGATTTTGCCCCCGACCTCCTTTGGGCCCTGCGTTCAGCGTTCACGTCCAGGCATACGTGTGCCTGGTTCTCCCACCACCTGAGCCTCTTGGGGCTTCTGATGAGAATCCAGGTTGTTTCCCCCGCTGGTGCAAGACTGAGTAGTCGTGGAAGCTGCTTACCATCTGCGAGCTTTCCAGCTCCCCACATTTTGCTGCGGATGGCTCCTTTCCTTTCTTTTGTCCTTCTGCAGGGTGTATGCCATCTGAAAAGTTCCGGCGCTTTTTATTCCCTTTGGTGGAATTTTAGAGAGGAACAAAAGTGTCTGTGTATTTCAATCTGTCATTTTCACTTTATTCCTTTTACTTCCACTTAATATGGTACCTTAATACTTTTCTCATGACTAAAAATAGTCATGAACATAGTTTAGAAAGTATAATAATCTTTCAAGAGCACCAGTATTGAAAGAGTGGAATGAGAAGAGTTACATAGGAGGGAGTCAGTGCGCTGGAGCTTCCGTGGGGAGAGAGCGGCTGTGAGCCTGCATCCTGCTCCCTAAGGAGCCACCTCTTCATTTTGTCCAGCCCTAGGGCAGACCATCTGCTCTGGAGTTCGGTCCCTTTGGATCAGAAGGAGTGGGGATGGACTGCCAGGGCAGAGCGCAGAGGGTGGGGGGCAACTAGGCTGTCAGCTGTGGAAGCAGCTCCTGGCATCCTGTGTAGAGTCACACACAGCCTGGTGCTCGGTTTAGTGCTCTGTGGTCAGCAGCTCGAAATGGTTACTTTTTAGCAAGGCACTTGCATTTTCATTTCACATAGGGCCCTGCAAACTACACAGTCACACAGTTGGTCCTTACTGTGATTCGTTTAAACATCTTTGGGTTTCAGTTTTCCTCTTTCAAAAGGGCCTTACTAACACCCACTTTGCGTGTATTATATGGTACTGCTGGATGGAAAGGTGCTAGAGTGAAAGTTAAAATTCTTCACCCACCCCCAGCAGCAGGGATCATAAAGCACATATGAGCACTGAGCGCTGAACAGAAGGGTCGGTGTGGATTCTCCCTACACACCCTCTCACCCCCATGGAGTTTTCTACCCGACCTAGTGCTCCAGCCCCTTTGCTGATGGTGCTCTGGGGTCAGCTTTTGCAGTCAGGGGCCTGGTGCCCTCCCTGCTGTGCTGCCACATCCCTCCTGCAGTGGGGGCTCTCTGACTCTTGGTGAATCAGATGTCTTCAACCAGACAAATAGCCCCCCCCCCCCAAGTCTTTAAGCACTTCTCAACACCTCTACAATGTACCCTGGAGCTCAAGGGGAGGCCTGGAGACCTCAGAGTTCCTCACCATCACTTCAGAAGCCCAGGCTCAGGGAGTGGTGAGCTTGGAAGATGGTAGGGTCGGGTCTCCCCACCACCTGTCTTTCTGGGGCTCTTTCCTTGTCATAGACTCAAAAGAACATCTGGAAATTTGGTACAGAGAATGTTAGAGGTTTATCAAGAATTTCTAAAAAGAGCTACAGAGAAAGGGAAATATAGCTCATATTTCAAAATGGAACATATGGGCAGATTTTATTTTTAGAAGGTGTTAAATTGGTGTGTTGTAAATGAATAATATGTATTGTGGTGATGAATGTGAGCCTGCTTGTATTCAGTAGGATTTTAATAATAGGAATTATTAAATATAAATAATATTGAATATTATGAACAGTTTTTTAATAATATGAATCCCTGGCAGCTTTGAAATTAGGCAGATCTGTAAAATGAAGGAAGACTGCGGGATCTTTGGTTTCTTTCTGAAACGGCTGGAGCTCTGGTGGTTACAGCTAATGCTCTCACGTCTACTCTCTTGCTTCTTGTTTTGAAATAAATACTTGGTTTTACATGGTTTGGGGGCCCTCAAGGGGCTAGTTCTGACTGATGTCCTTCATTCTATTTTAGGAGCTCCCAGATTCATTGAGGGAGCAGACACACCTGAGAGAATGGCACATAAGCAATACCCTGATTCAAATCATTCCTGCATATATCAAGCTGTTTCAAGCAATGAGAATATTGGATCTGCCAAAAAACCAAATCTCTCATCTTCCAGCTGAAATTGGTAAGTCACTTAGCCAGGGTCTTCAGGCTCCTGTGTGTGGTAAGCAGCAGGCAGCTGTGTACAGGTGACATTCTGCAGATACCAGGGTTCCTCTTCCACCTGCCCCAAAGGTCTCTGGCCAGGGCTATTTTGACAGTCCTCAGAGCTGCTTGTTCATATTGTCCCTTATGGGCAGAAATGCCGTGATTTCACCTGTGTAATTCAGCTCATAGAGATGTTTGCCAGTTGCTGAGAAACTAGAAGCTTCATGTGTGAGCAATACTTTAAGAGCTTTTTATTGATTTCTTTTAAGTTTTAGAGACATAAGCATCTGATAATATGATTATTATAAATATCAAATAAAATATATTGCTCCCATATAGTAGTCCATTGATAAGTCTAGCTTAGCTTATTCTGTCTTTTTGATAGATTGAAATTGTTCAAATGCCTATTCTTAAAATGAGGACTCTAGTGATCATTATTGTTTCTTTTCCCCCCCGGTGGAGAGCAGAGGTGGAAGGGCTGTACATTCCATTCTCACTATTCATGCCCTAGGGCCAGTGGAATGGCAAACTCCTGTGAGAATTTACCAGCAGCCAAGGCCATGTGGGACAAAGGGTGGCTTGTGGGGCCTCTGGTGTTCATACAAGTGTGTCTGGACTACAGAGATCTGGCCATCCTTCTATCCTGGCCGATCTTGAGTTGTTTATGCAGCTACTAACTAAGTGGAGAGATGAGGTGACGTCTTTCCCCCAAAAGCACTTGCTATAAAAGCAGTGCGTTCCCCAAGCTCAGTCTCCTGCAGCTACCACCCATTCTGTGTATACATCCTTGTGGGACATCTGCATCATGTGTGGTGGGCTTGGTTGTAAGGGAACTGATGTAAATATGCCATCTCCGACCAGGAGTCTTGTGTCTTCTGCAAATATCTATGGAACAGCAACAGGCAAACTTATTAGCTCATAAGTAGGGTAAATTCAAATTCTAGACCCAACAAGGACAAGTACTTCTGTTTCCTTGTCCAGTTTCTTGAAAGGTAGGGAGGACTTAGAAGTTTTATAGTTGAAAAGTACCATCTTTGACTTGTTGGTGGTCGTTTACCTCCTGTTCCTCCATTTTATAGATTGGAGAGAGCAGGTCCCAGTGATATTAATGACTTAGCCCAGAGGTGGGGAATCTGCAGCCTTAAGGCCACATGTGGCCAAGGGAAAGTAACCTGCTTAAACAAGGACATTCAGGATAAAAGATGGGTAGACATTTAGTGTAGAGTACTTAACAAGCAAATACTAAATCGTGGTTAGTGGCCTTCCACCTCCAGTGGGACTGGGCTTTTGATCTAAATTGACTCTGATGGAGAAAACTGAGCCCATTTCAGAGGAGTAATGCTAAATCCTTACCAAGATACTGCTGAGGAATGAAAAGTCGTGTTTATATGATGAAATTAGGCATCGTGGAAGTGAGTGGCAAGGGTAACAGTGATCTGAATATAAATAATTTCTTGGTGTCTATAAATTATCAAAGTGTTACATTTGCTGTAGACTTTCTAAAGCTATTAATTTTCTTTGACCACCTTTGAGAAGAAGGTAGTCTAATATAAAACTCTCTCTCTCCTATTACTTCATTTTCTCTTTGTATTCCCCCCCCCAGTGGTAGTCAGATACACATATCACTGATGGACACGTCTCCTGTGTGTCCTCATGTACTGGAACAAATGCCTCCATGAACCAGGTCATGTAACCCCTTAATAGATCAGATTTATTTCTGCTGTGTTGAAAAGCTTAGACACACATGGAACAGTTATGTCATCTGTACCAATCTCCTACATTTAATGAGAGATTCCATAATACATAGACTTAGGGAAGCTGAAGCTATGGAAATAGTCTGATCATGTGCCCAGTCCTCTGTGGAAAAGAAGCTATTTTATTTTCTATTGTCCTCCTTATCCACTCTGCTACTTTGACTACAATAACTAACCACAAGGCTTGCAAGTATATACCAGGTAGGTAAGTTAGAGGGGCTACTGATTTCCACATCATTGGTAGCATCTTCTAACAAACCCTGAGAAGCCACAAAATTACCAGAAATGGCCCTGCTTCCAGTATACTGTCTTGGTATGTTTTACTTTCTCATTTTTGAAGTGGCAAGAAATTTGTATTTTGAGTATCTATTCTGCAAAGCTAAATAAGAACTTTGGTTTTCTAAGTTAAGTTTAGCTTAAAAATGTTAAAAGTATTCAGTGCCTTAGAACACACATGACATGATTCTTAGAGTGTTAAGTATATTTGCTCTTATACTAGTTTCTGGTTTCAAAATGGTTATGTGTTGGGCGGTGCCTGTGCTTCAGTGGGCAGGGCACCAGCCCCATATACCAAGGGTAGAGGGTTCAAACCTAGCTCCAGCCAAACTGCAACAAAAAAATTGCCGGGCATTATGGTGGGCACATGTAGTCCCACTTGGGAGGCTGAGACAAGAGAATCACCTAAGCCCAGGAGTTGGAGGTTGCTGTGAGCTGTGACGCTATAGCACTCTACCATGGGCAATAAAGTGAGACTCTGTCTCTACAAAAAAAAAAAAGAAAGAAAGAAAGAAATAGTTACATGTTTATTCAATCAAGAATCAGAAATAGGGGTCAGGCATGGTGGCTCATATCTGTAACCCTAGCACTCTGGGAGGCTGAGGTGGGTGGATTGCCTGAGCTCCCAGGTTTGAGACCAGCCTGAGTCAGAGTAAGACCTCATCTCGAAAAATAGCCAGGCATTGTGGTAGGCACCTGTAGTCCTAGCTACTCAGGAGGCTGAGGCAAGAGAATCACTTGAGCCCAAAGAGTTTGAGGTTGCTGTGAGATATGACCCCACAGCACTCTACTGAGGGCGACAAAGTGAAACTCTGTCTCAAAAAAGAATCAGAATTAGAATACGGTATTTTCCAGTCAATTCAGTTATTGCCTCTTATGCTTAGCATGTTCATATTTGCCTATGAAAGAGACTTGTAGTGGGCGGTGCCCATACCTCAGTGGGTAGGGTGCTGGCCACATACTCCGAGGCTGGTGGGTTTGAACCCATCCTGGGCCTACTAAAACAACAATGACAACTGCAACAACAAAAATAGCCAGGCCTTGTGGCGGGTGCCTATAGGCCCAGCTACTTGGGAGGCTGAGGCAAGAGAATTGCTTAAGCCTAAGAGTTTGGGGTTGCTGTGAGCTGTGATGCCACAGCATTCTACTCAGGTCTCAAAAAAAAAAAAAAAAAAAAGAAGAAGAAAGAAGAAGAAAGAAAGAAAGAGACTTGTAGCATATTTTTCAGGAAATATGATAGATTATGCATTATAAATGAATGCACATATGAAGCCAAAGATACACAATGAATTACACGTCATCTGTAAACAGTTGCTCCTTTGAATCATTTACCACATACACAGAGCTTTGTGCCTGTTTCAGTGCACAGCTCACTTTCCTTAGAGCCCTTCCTTAGGGTATTGCTTGTCGCTGTATTTCCTAAAAGCTGTACCACTCTTCAAAGTGACTCCCTGTTATTTAATTCATCATATAATTTCACAGTGTTTGCACGCGTATGGGTGGTGGGTCTGACCCAGGGTACACAGAGGGCAAATCCCTAATGCCCACTCACCTTGCCTATAGTTTCACAAAGGGCCCAGGGGTGTCCAACCTGCAGCCTGCACGCTGCATGTGGATTGTGTGAGGACATTTTTGCATATCTGTGGTGGCAGATATCATGAAATATTATGCATGGACCTTTTTATTTTTGCTTATCAGTTTTCATTAGTATTTGTATATTTAATGTATGGCCCAAGACAACTCTTCTTTCACTGTGCTGCAGAGAAGCTCAAAGGTTAGATACTCCTACAGAAGTAAGCAACAAACAGATAGATAGATGGATAGCTAGCTGTGATCAGGGACCAAAATGCTTAGGATAAAAGATGACACTTGAAGACACTTAAGGAATGTTTGTAAAGCAAACACAAAATTATATTTAGTGACGTCCCCATCATGACTAATACAAATATTTGACCTCTTAGTTTTTGTTTTTGTTCTTAAAAGACCTACTCAATGGCTGTGACCATTTTTCTGATGACAGGTTGTTTGAAGAACCTTAAAGAACTTAATGTGAGTTTCAACCATCTGAAGAGCATTCCGCCAGAACTGGGAGAGTGTGAAAATCTAGAGAGACTGGACTGTTCTGGGAATCTAGAATTAACTGAGCTGCCCTTTGAAGTAAGAAATAAACATTTCTGCACTATGACTTACTTTGATTTGATTTGTGGCATGGAATGGTCTATAATATGGAGAAGTTTTAAAAGATGAAACCCATCTTTATCATGTCACCTTTTCTTGACATTTCAATCATGCTATACCAGCAATTATAAGGCCTTTAAAAATGTTTTTACACTAGGCCAACACCTCATTTAAGTTCAGACATGCTATCCAAGGAAAATAGGGAAATAATCCGATTTTTTACTCAAGGTATTTTAATGTCTATGGATGCCTACAATGTATGAGATCTATCGTCTATAGTACAGACCCTGATTTAGCCACAGTGGTGAAGTTTTAATACTCATTAGTTTCTTTTGATCTGCATTCATGGAGAAATGATTTTCTGATCAAATGGAGCAGGTATGTGGGTCAGTATGAAAGCTTTGAGATGTACTGTGTTATTGTCCATTATTTCACTTCTAGGAAACACAGTTGACAGTGTCCTTTCTGATTCACCCTTGTGAGTTGCAACCTCCCTGGCTGATCCGTGTTGCCAAGAGGCCTTCATTTGTTTCTGTCCATGCTGATTTTATGTTTCTTGATTTTTGGATATCCCAAAACTTTCATAATGACCCATGTAAAAGTGAACAACTTTTATTGCCAAATAAAACCAAATAAGCTTTTTGCGCTGAAGGGAGATAAGGATTTGACAATCATCCTGATAATAAATGGGCAAAAATGGTGATGACTGGGGAGGTTCTGACGAGGCACAGGACACCAATTGTAGTTCTAGACAGGGTGTTATTTTCTTTTCCTGATCACTGCTGGGCCGGAGGAAGTAGCTGCTTCTAAACTGTTAGCATCCCTTTCACCTCAGGAAATGCCCAACAGTGGTCCTGGTGAGGGTACACAGCCAGGGGTGATGATTCCCTGCACAGACCCTCTCATCCCCCAATCTTTCTCAGTTCAGGGAATGGCTCAGTTGTCACTCAGATGTTAGACTGAGTAAGTTGAGTCACTCTTGACCTATCACCTCACTCCCGTGCCCCATATCCAACCCGTGAACAAATCCTGTGGGGCATGCCCTTCAGAATACATTCTGCATCCGGCCACTGCAACGTGACCCTTCTACTACCTACCTTTCCACTACCACTCTAGTCACGTGCTAAATATCTGTTGAATTCGTGAATAGAATAAACTGATGAACATCAGATGAATTTTTAACAATTCACACAATTTTTATCATATCTTCTTCCCCTTTACAAGTCTGCCTTGATTCTTTACTACAGAGCATTCCTTACTACCAGATCCAACCTTTAAAATCCAGCACTACACTTCATAATCTCAAAGTTGCTTTTGCCAGCTCCAGCACCTCTGTCCATTATGAGTCCTCTGGTTTAGGGTGTCGCAGCAAGTAAGGCCCCCTGCCCGCACACAGCTCACCATCTTCATGTGTGTCTGCATTTGCTAACATTTGTCTGTCTTAATGGGATGGTATTTACACAAATAATTGACACAATTCTGATTTAAAATGTAAATAAACAGCAGGTAGAGTGAATGACCGGTAGATGGTTAAGTGAAGGAATGATCAGAAATTCTGAGGCAAAGGTAAAGATTATCAGACTTCCTAGCTACATGAACTTTTTTATATAAAAAAAGTGTTCTGTTTATTCTGATTGAGAGTCAGATTTTGTTCTGTACAACACTGGCATTTTCAGACAAATATAAATACTTTCCAAAAGAGTTTATGAATGTTTTACTTTGCCACTAATAAAAGTAGCTAGTGGGAAAATGAGATTTATATCCACGTAACTTTTCTCCTTGCTAGTTCAAAGCCATTGTGATGGTTCTTACTCTGATTTTCACAAAAGTTTTAAATTATTTCCTTTAAATACCTTAATAAAGTATTTTACAGCCTAAAATATACATTTTCTACATTTAGCATAAAAAGAAGAATAGATAATAATTTTGTATTGATTTTTCTGCTGAGGCAACACAGAGTTTTTTTTTTTTTTTGAGATGGAGTCTCACTTGGTAGAGTGCTGTGGTTTCATAGCTCACAGCAACCTCACATGCTTGGGCTTAAGCCATCCTCTTGCCTCAGCCTCCCAAGTAGCAGGGACTACAGGTGCCCATCACAGCACTCGGCTATTTTTTCTTTCTTTCTTTTTTTTTTTTAGAAGAGATGAGGTCTCAGGGTCTCGGGGTCTCTCTCTTGCTTATGCTGATCTTGAACTCCTGAGCTCAGGCTGCCTCAGCCTCCCAGAGTGCTGGGATTACAGGCATGAGCCACCACACCCAGCTATTTTTAGAGATGGGGTCTTGCTCTAGCTCAGGCTGGTCTGGAACTCCTGAGCTCAGGCAATCCACCTGCCTCAGCTGCTGGGAGTACAGGCATAAGCCTCCACGCCTGGCCTCATTCTACTCTATAAAACTTGCACTTTCTGTCCTCTGGGATTTTGTACATGCTGTTCCCCCACCTCAGTTTCCTTCCCTACCTTTCCCCATTCCAATACTCCATTTTCTGTGAACTTTCTTTTGGAGCCCTGGCTCTTACCCCACTGTGATGTTAGGCCGATTAAACATTTATTTCCTTGTATTACCAAACATGGCAAGTCAGAAACTTCTGCGTGTTAGTTTTTACTACATCAAATCGCATTATTTATTTATGAGCGTCTAGATTCCTGGAGGGCAGCCACAGTGTCCTATTTATCTTAGCTTCCCCAGCACATGCGCAGTGCATGCCTCACAGTGGGGCTCCAAGGTATGGACTGCATTGATCCTTTGGGGAAGAAATACCAATCTAAAAATTATTCAGTGAACTTAATTAGCATTCTCACAAAAGTAATTCGAATATGTTGTTCTTCTTTTCTAGTTAAGTAATTTGAAGCAAGTTACATTTGTAGATATCTCAGCAAACAAGTTCTCAAGCGTCCCCATCTGTGTCCTGCGGATGTCTAATTTGCAGTGGTTGGATATAAGCAACAATAACCTGAGTGACCTGCCACAAGATATAGACAGGTAGCTACTTGCATTCTGCAGGTGAGGTAAATAAATCGGTTCCTAGCTCCTTGACCACCGTTAGCATGTTAAACCTGCGTAGCACATGGATGTTCTTTGACATCAGCAAATTTTCCAGAGTTTGTTTCTAGGAAATCAGTTTTCCAAGAAATTATAGAGTAAGACAATTTCCCATCTGCATTCTATCTATATACATAGGTGTGCTTTGAATACACCTTCATTGTCTGGATGAACTTGAATTTGCTTCAGTCTTCCTGAAACTGGCATCATTAACTTTACTCCACAGGAGTAGAAAAGTAAATTTGTTATACATAGAACAGAAACACATCACTCTATGTGTAGAATATCAGTGAGGACAATTTTTATTTTGTTTATTGATTTACTATGCATAATCTTTCAAACAAAATCGATAGGCTTAGCAAAGTTTTCAGATTATATTCTTATAGCTACATCATGTTTAAAGAATAATTTTGATACTGAATTATGTAAACTTCCTTCATTCACTTATTCGTTTATAATATCATTAGGCTCCAGTACGGCAGGCCTGGAGAGTGGGAAAGGGTACAGTGGTGAATGAAACACAATCTCTGTCCTGGAATCTGCGATCTTTTTTATAAAGAAGCATAAACAAGCTCTTAGGACACAGAAGCCAACAACAGCTTAGGCCTGAATGCCGGCTCGTGTGACCTTTCTCTCCTTGTGGTACATGTGACGTGTATCCATGCTTTCTGGGTTTTTGAGACTAAGTGGCATTTGTTTTCATTTGAAACAGGAAGGGAACTTAATGAAATATTTGTGGAATTAGCCACAATTTTGCAAATGAATGAAAGAAACATCTTGGGTGGAGGTCACTGAGTTAGAATAAACTAGAAAATAGGGGGCATATTTTGCTCATTTTCTTTTCATTCTACATTTTTCTTCCCGTTTTAAAGTTAGAAAATACGTTGGGAGAAGAATAATTGCTTTTAAGATGTATTATTCAAAAGGAAAGACATCGCCGAAATCTACTTATTCTCATTCTAACTGTAGTGAGATTTCTTTCCTGTGTCCTGCTGACCTTCATAAATGCAGGAGACACTTAGAAAGAGAGATATACTGATTTTTGAGGCTCCACGTAGCCTACTGTGTCTTGTGCAATTTGCTTCTCCTGCGGCTGTGTATGTCTTCAATGAGTGATTAAATCAGTAAAAAACGGGGCAAGGGGAGAGGGCAAGGCCAGAGGGGGGAGGAGGATTGTGTCACCTGGCATGACTTTATTCATTTAAAATTTATAGTAAGTTTGTTTTTATAAAGATTACATATATGAAATAAATAAAGTAGGGATGTCCTCCTGGCATTGAGTTGTAACTCACACTGCTTTCCTTAGCTACGGAGCTGAGTCCTTGTGTTCTCTGATCCTGTTTACTTCTCAGGCTGGAGGAACTGCAGAACTTTCTCTTGTATAAAAACAAGCTGACCTATCTTCCTTACTCCATGCTTAACCTAAAGAAGCTCAGCTTGTTAGTCGTCAGTGGGGACCATTTGGTGGAGGTGCCAACTGCCCTTTGCGACTCATCCACGCCTTTGCGGTGAGTAGAGCCGAGATCCCCATAGAGACACATTCAGACACAGGCAAGGAGTGAGGAGTTTTAGAGCTGGGACAACTGTTTCAGGAACCGGATTAGATGGTTCTGGTACCCTGAACCTGATCCCAGCTCACAGTTCTAATAACTTCACAGGATTTTGAAGTTTTTGGTGTCTGTCATGAGGAGGAAGCATATGGCTCAGAGGATTTCTGAACAGAGGTCCCATGTGGTGGAAGGTGTGAGGCCCATGCTGGGGGGCCCAGTCTGTTGCTCAGCACTCACATCCCTGTTGGCCTAGAGGGGGCAGCAGCTGTTGAACAAATCCTCCCTGGTTGCCTCACCCTTATTTCTGTTTCTTTAAACTCAACCATATGTAACTAAGAAAAAGCATCCATGTGAATGTGATGTAAACAGACTCCAGCTGGGGGCGGGAAGGAAATGCAATTGAGAATTCTAAGCTCTATCCTCCCTTAAAATGACTCCATGGCAGCTAATGGCTCCCTGGTAGCATATCTTGCCAGAATTTAGGGCCTTGGGGTTCCCCGTTACCTCTATCCTGAGACCATTTTTGTCCATCCCCAGCAGCTTGGAGCCATGACAGGAGATGGCCTTATTAAAAGCCACCTTCTCTCTGTGTCCAGAGACTCATGTGCCTTGAATACCAGGTGCTTGTTATAACCGCCTCTGGAATAAAATAGAAAACAGAAGATAACATAAATATTCCCTCCAGAGGACCCAAGGACCCCAGGTTCTCTCAATGGTGAATGTTTACTATCAACATAGAGTCCAAACTTATCCTCCTCTCTTTGCAGTAAAATGCATGGTGAGCAAAGAGGTTTGACTATTAGAGAGAGACTAATTTCACACCTGTGTGAGCATAAGATTAACAGGGGTGTAAAAGATCTCCCTGCTCACCCCATTCCATCCACTGGAATGAGTCTCTCACTGTTCATAGCTGTGCTAGGAGTATTGTTTGGATAAGAAAAGGCCCACTGGTGAGAGGAGAAGCAGAATCTGTCCCTAGAGCCCCTTCCACATTTGGCAGCTCTGTATCTAAGAACAGTCAGGGTAAAACTATCATCTAACTAATTTCAAGTGATAGAATTGTAGGACTCAGAAATCTAAGAGACTCAGATGGAAGCTCTTTGAATTATTGAAAGCTCAATAAAAAGATTAAAGTTTACATAAAAAACTTAATAGGTTATTACTGATTTCTCAAAAATTACCTGTAGAAAAAACAAATGGAAGAAATGATGGCATTAAACTAATGACCAAAAATGCACAATAACTAGGAAAACCCTAGGAAAAACAGTTCTCTTATATGAAGGGGACTACAATGTCTTTGCAAAGGATATCAAAGACATTGCAAATATTGGGGAAAGACATACTGTATATTTTCTCAGTAAAAAGATGGTAAAGATATGATTTCTTGGAGTGCTGTCATAAAAGTTTTGCAGGATTAAGGCTTTAAGCCTATAATTCTATAGCTAGCCAAACTGGCATTTGATTTTCGGGGTAAGACAAAGATATTTCTTAATATCAGAGAATTTAGTAAGTCTATTTCTTGTGTACCCTCTTTGAGAGAGTTACTGGAGAATATATTTTAGCAATACAGGGTGACAACAAACACATGTGCATAATATGGTTTCCTCCCACCAACACACACCTCCAAAAATCAAGTAAAAGCAGAAACCAGAACAGTACGGCTCTAACCAGGGTGGACAGCTAACCAACATACTTTGGGATGAGAGGAAAGAAGGTTACAGATGTTGGTGAAATTTTTAAAAAATTGACTGTTCTGAAAGTAGTGAGTTCTTTTAATTATTGTTCAGTCAGTTCGAACTCCTTGTTACTTATTGCTCTTTCCCTCCTCACTATTGCACTTGACTGGTCTTGAAAAAATGAGAAATAATAGTAACCATCCTAGGATGGAACTCTGTCAATGTAACATGCCAACGCAGAAGAAAGCCACAGAAAACCATGGGATGAGGTGACAGGATAAGTCAAAACAGAAAAACTGGACAAGCAGCACTCATCCTAAGAAGAACTTTTCATAAATTTTATTGTTTATCATGATGTGCATCTTGAAGTTTTATATTAAACCTTTCCTTTGGAAAAAAGATGTGAATTTTTTCTAAAAATCACACCAAAGTGTCATATAATTCTGATCGTAAGTCACATGGGATTTCTTTAGCGGACTTGAAAAATGAATTTGAAAGTATATGTGAAATGAAAAAGTTAAGGACAGTAATGAGAATTTTAGGAAACAAGAGGAATGCGTTAGAACTTACTGGGAATTATGAGGTATTTGTAATTCTTTGTAAATTATGTGATGCTGGGCAACGGTTTGTAGATAAGTTATTGGAAGAGATTAGGTAGTTCTGAAATCAATCCTAATACATAATACAGGAATTCTCATAAACCTGTGAGCAAAGTATGGATGATTTCATACAATATTGAAGAAATTGGCTAGTTAGGAAAAATTCTTCATTGTATGGCATAAGAAAGCTTTATAGCACATGGCTTTCTATGCCACATATAGTTGATATCATAAATATATGGTATATAAGGCATATAGGAAGAAATCTAGGTCAACTCACAAGTTACTTATCAAAAGAAGGTCATAAAAACAATAAGAGATGCCTTGTTATTGACTATATGTCCCTCTTGAGGGCCCATTAAAATGGAAGGAAAAAATTGTAAATACGTGAGCTTTATAATGATGGACCACGCAAGGGGAAGGCCTTTGTAGGATGAGCGATCTCAACACAGTTATGTAAGACATAGAGCAGACAGCACAGGGGTGACAGATGAAAATGAGATGAGACAAGCTGAAGCCCAGAGAGCAAGCAGTGAAGCAGGCCAGTCTGTCCTGAAGAACTCCACAGAAGCTTGGTGGTCAGGAATTCCAAGGGAGGAATTGGTGGTCAGGTACAGGGAGGTGCAGACAGGAACATGGTACTAGAAACAGAAGGCCCAAGGGAATTTTCATAGTCACAGGCAACCTCCACCTTGATTCTAATGGGCAGAGCACTCCGCACCAGTGGGCCAGCCCCAGACCAACAGTGTGAGGTTTCCTCTAGGGTGGCCCTGGGGAAAAGACTCTGGAGACTGAACTCCCTGCCTGAGTGACCACCCACGGTGAGGCCAGCCCCTTGGCCAGCACTGCCCATCTACTCAGGGTGCCCAACCAGCACTGTTTGTCTCATTTTCAACTATGAAGGTCTCACCAAGCCTTCCCAGGTAATTGTCACAGGAATGTAAATATCATTTATTGATTTTTAATGTTAGACTCAAACTGCTGGCAAAAAAACGTTATATGTGGTTATAGATCAGAATGAGTATTGTATTGACCTTAACGATGTAAAAGGACACAATGTCCATGATGTGTTTTGAGAGGGTTAGCTGGGCATGGTGTACCCTGTAGTCCCAACTACTCTGGAGGCTGAGGCAGGAGGAGAGCTTGAGCCGTGGAGTTTGAGGCTGCAGTGAGCTATGATAGTGCTGCTGCACTTCAGCCCAGGCAACAGAATAAGACCCTATCTCAAAAAAAAAAAAAAAAAATATATATATATATATATATGGCTGATGTGTGGATGGATGTGTGGGTGTGTGGTAGAGCAAGTATAGTCAGATGGTAAAAGTGGGGACTGGGGGTGTGTACATGGGTGCCCACTGAGAAATTTTTCTCCATTTCTGAATAATTGAAAATATTTATAACATTAAAGTAAAAGAACAGATCAAAAATTGGGAGGTATGAAGGTTGGGAAATGAAGAGAAGGGGAGGAATACCACCATTTGATTAAATGACATTAAAGTATTTGTCCTAAGGTGAAAGATATTTTAAATTGCTTTAAGTAAGAGTAGTGATTGACCAATGAAAGAGATTGCCTCTGGGTCCAAGAGTAATGAAGGGGAGGGTGAGAGAATGCTGTTTTACAAAAAAGAACATAATACTGTGTAAAATTTAAAGTATGTACAGTGATTACTTTGATAAACAATTTGAGAATAATAAAATACAGGTATATTTTTTATTTTGGGGCAAGGAAGGATGCTAAAAATTATTTCAATGAAAGAAACTGTAAAGGAAAAGTTGAATGATTCTATCTCCATACTGCTGTTGGATTTGGAATTCCACTGGTGATACTATTATGTGATGAACTCTGACTTTCAAGGATAAGCCAGATGTTGGGGTTCAGTACCACAAAGCTTACCTTCTGGCATGAGAAAATTTGCAGTTAAAAATGCACAGGTGAGGCTAGGTGTGGTGGCTCACTCCTGTAATCCTAGTGTTTTGGCAGGCTGAGGCAGGAGGATCCTTTGAGCTCAGGAGTTCAAGACCACCCTGAGCAAGAGTGAGACCCCTGTCTCTGCCCAAAACACTAAAATTAGCCAGGCATTGTGATGGATGCCTATAGTCCCAGCTACTTGGGAGGCTGAAGTAGAAGGATCAATTGAATCCAAGAGTTTGAGGTTGCTGTGAGCTAGGCTGATGTCGCAGTCACTCTGGGGAATGAAGTGAAACTCTGTCTCAAAACAAACAAAAAAGCGCAGGTGATAATGTAGTATTTTCCATACTTTCTTGAATAGATTTGTAAGCCTTATGGATAATCCTATTGATAATACACAGTGTCAAGATGATGAAATAATGGAAAGTGAACAGGATCGCCAACATTTTGATAAAGAATTTATGAAAGCCTATATTGAAGATCTTAAAGAAAGAGGTGGGTTACTCATATTTAAAATTATTTAATGTGAATGTCCATAATTCCACTCATTTATGCCACACATATAAGTCTCATTGACAAAAAGTTAATTGGTTGGAAGGACAGATTACTTCGTAAACTTTTTTCCCCATTTATCCTCCTAAACAACCAAACCCAAATGACACATTTCCTTAAAATATCAAATTGTTCTACCCCATTTGATTGCTTGATATGTCATCAACTGTTTGACAGAGAAGCTGAGAACACACCCTTGAAATGTGAGGAATGTGCCTATTAACCACACATGAATTTTAAACTAAATAATATTGACCAAATAGTATTTGAAGTTAATGGGAAAACATGATGCCATTTCAAAAATCCATTTGAATTCAACTTTTGAAAAAAGTTCTCTCGTATAAAATCAAGGGACACCTGTTTTCCCAAAGGAAAAACACAAGATGGCAGATAGGTGAATCCTTTTAGTTTTGGTTTTCCCTGAGGAGTGCAGGTCCCTCAGGAAGGGTGGGACATGTTTTTCCCAGAGAGGAATTCTGGTGATTGTTTGTGAAGGGGTAGTGATATCCTGATCCTGGCTGGAAGGCTTAGGACCTCTGCAGGACAAAGGCGTAAATCGCCTTTGGTTTTCTAATCACCGCCTCCTCCTTTCTGGATCTGATCGTCTTCAAGTTATTACTTAATTTTTCAGTTTTTTTCCTTGGTAAGCGAAGCATGGACCTGACAGTAAGATGCCATCCCTGTGGATTTAGGGAGGAGGTGGCACTGGCCCCTGTGCCTTTAAAGATAAGGTGTGTGGGCAGGACCCCACTGTCACCCTCAGGAGGTACGCATGAAGAGGATTCGTCACATTCAAATATTCAGAGATTTAATGGCACTCAAGAAAGATTTCATTTATTTGAAAAAAAAATTTCAACTAAATTAAGAAAATTTCTATACAGTTACCTTTCATCTATTTGGGTATCCCTCATCTTAAATGTTAAACTATTGTGAAATAAATTAGAAATTTGTGTTAAACTGAAGCCAGAGAACTATTTATTTGCCAAAATTTATCTTTGAGGGAATATGATTTTCCTCTTGTGAAAAACTTTATTTTACTCATTTAATTATTCACAATTATATTTTAGAGCTATTACATAAAAATACAAAAATGAATCAGAGAGTCCAGATATTAAATTTGGGCCCTGTGTGGCCAGCAATAATAATTTGCATTTAAAGTTAATTGATCTAACTTTAAATTAGTAAAAGATTACTAATAGTAGTAATCTATTGCTACTTTTTAAATTAAATTATTTTTAAATGACAAATTATTTTATTTAAATAATTAACAAATTCATTATAAAATAAATATAATTAGTTATTTAAATAAAATAATTTGTCATTTAAAAATAATTTAAAAAGTAGCAGTAGATTTTGAATTTATTCAGTTATTTGTAAGTAATTATAATAATTTTAATTATTTCTAAATAATGGAAAATCCTATTGGTAATACTCAATATCAAGATGACATAATAATTTAATTATTATTAAATAATTGTAATAATTATCTTTCATATATTCATATTGGGTTGAACCAAATAATAGTACTAATATTCAGCTGATTTTGACCTATAAACATGCCAGTTACTATGGTTCAACCTATATATGGTCAGGCATGTGCTTTGAATTTTTAAGAATTTGTTTATTTTCCTTTCTTTGCTGTGATGTCTTCTTTCTTTTCTCTCCTTCCTTATTAGACCAAAGTCTGAGTCAGTCATAGAGACAATGGGTATCAGGAAGAAAAGTAGGTTTAGTCCACATGGGCCTCCTGTAGCTCAAGAATGATGAAGATGTGAAGCCCTCACTGATTCTCAAATTTTAGTGAACTTAAGAATCAGAGTTGTGACCCAACAAATCACATAGGTCTGAGAACAAGCAGCTTCTAGGTGGTGTTGAAGCCCGTGCTGGAGAGCCATTGCTATATAGACTGTCCTTTGACAAGATTTGGCTGTGAAGGGAGAGTGAGGGGCACTAACTTGTGGGAAGAGCAAGGTTGGGAAGTTTACTTAGTAAGATTGTACTTGGTTTAGGAATAGCCCAAACTTCTCTCTTAAATTATACTCCCCTCTACTGGTATCCATAGTCCCAAGTCCATTTATTTCTATTCTGTCAGCTGTTGTTTCTAAAGGTTCACCCAGTTTCCAAGGTCTTGATGTAGTTGGGTGAACTGGTTGGAAAGATTGCAAAAGAAGGTGAGTTAATGATTCTATGTTAGATCTAAACATTTCTATAGCTTGACTACATTTGTGATGGCTGACTTAAATGGTACTAAGTGTATTATTTATCACCTATACATTATCTTTATACTTAAACATGAAGTGGCAATAATTTGTGTGAGTTTGGTGAATGGTTGAGCATATTTTTTCTTTTTTGTTACAGAATCTGTTCCCAGCTATACCACCAAAGTATCTTTTAGCCTTCAACTTTGATATCATCCATCAGAAGACCACAAAATCTCACTATCCTGTGGAGCTTTAAATCTCTGTGTCATGGGTCATGTCACATAGGAATAATGTCCTTTGGCAAGATTAAGGACAAAGTCTAGCAACCATTGTCATAGTTAAGAAAAACTATTTTCAAATTTCAAATATATGAATATCTCCTTTTGTGGACCGGAGAATTGATAAATTGGTTTAAATATTGATATTTACAGGTTCTTTTACATATACTTACTTCCAAATAATACACATTTAATATTTTTTAAAATGTATTATCTTTTAAAATTATAGCTTAAAGACCAAATTCTGAAGTTGAGTGCATCATTTTCAGGAATTAAGGGATAATGGGATTTTGAAAAGAGATTTTATATTGGACTAGTCAGATGAGTTTGTTATTTTGAAAGTGTTTTAAGAGACTACTTTTCTTTGGGTTTATATCAATTGCTATCTCCATATGTTTTAAATTATATTTTGGTAGGCATTGGCTCTCCAAAGAGACTTAGGGTACAATGTGGGTCTTGAAGATAGGAAGGCTGGAATGTCTACCCATGCATTGGGCATGATATGCTCAGATGGTACGTGGGTAGCCCTGTAGAGGAAGTATGGGCCTGGCTGTTTGTGAGGAACCTTGAATGGTCTGCATGATGGCCATCCCGCCCTGAGTGGTGACCTTGGGGATCCTGGGCCTCACCTCAGAGTAAAGAGCAGAAACGATGTCCTCAGGGCTTCCTCCCTAACCGTGGCCATGTGGGGTAATAAGAAGAACTGAGAAGACTAGTCTGTAATGTTAACGAGTCCTTGGCAATGCTTCCTGTGGCTACCAAGGGAGAACTAAGCCCATGCAAAGATGTTCAGTCCAGAGGGAGCCCAGGGCACTGTGTTTGATGTTGGCAAAGGTGGGATTCATTACAGGGCTTTGGGCTCTTAGATCACATTATATGGTTTGGAGAGATTGTACACAATTTCTTTAGTTTTATACTTAAAACTTGGGCTAAAATAAATAGGATTGTGACGCATGGTCTTGAAGGTAAGCTTAAACAAGTAGCTTTTGTGGCTAAGAAGGAAAATATGCTCACAGTTTCTTATTTATATATGAATTGATGCCTCTGTGCTGCTGCACAGTGCTGCCTGGCAGAGCGAGTTGACAGTGATGGAAGCGCTCTGTATCTACTGCTCAGGGCAGCACCCTCCAGACACATGTGGTTCTTGAGTACTAGAACAGTGACTGGTGTGCCTGGAGGACTAAATTTTAAGTTAAATTTAAATATCCGTATTGTTTTGTCAGGCCATGCTCAAGGCTAGAATAGTCCCCAAATGAAAGAAGGGTAATTTCCATGAAGGAGTGTTCCAAACCATCTCGAGATGGTGCCCTCAGGGATTCCAAAGACAGAAGCACTGAACGCCAGGGTGACTGGTCCAGACAGTAGTGGAATGTACCTACAGAATGGGCTGTAGCTGCTTGTGACAGTGAGATAATGGATGTTCTCCTGAGACATGTCCCCAGTGAGGGGGTCAGGTTAAGAGTTCATGTGATGGGTTAAGGAATTGGGCTAGGGGTGGGGCTCACTTCTATGTGTTCAGAAACATGGTTGATCTGTTGGTGTTTCTGGTGACAACCTAAACACTTTATTAGTGCCTGGGATACTCAAGGTCTGGGCTGGGGTTCAAGACTGCAGGGCAAAACATGTAGCTGGCCGGGTCACAGAGCAGTTGCGTCCTTCTGTGTTTCCTGATCAGCACAGACAAAAAAGTGGGGGTCACTGGGGTTCCTACACATATATGGTTACCATACTGAGCAACACAGTTCTAGCCAAGTGGGTTTTCTGGAAGTTAATCTAGGGTAGAAGTGAAGGGTGATTTAAATTTTCTCTTATCGTTCTCAGAGGCATGCATTGTAGAAGGGTTATTATTGGTACTCCAATATTTTGTCTTGATGAGCTTAGTGATACATCTAAACCTTTTACTCTCAACAGATGTAAAGCAGGCAGAATATTCTAAAACTGCATGGTAACGCTTCAGTAGAGGATTGCTTCAACTTGAACTCTGAGAAGTACGTTAAAAGATTAAAAGAGTAGGAAAATAGGAAATCACTTTCATTGAAACTTAAAAATTACATTCTTTTTAACACTTTAAAAACATAATTCAAATTTATCACCTGTATTACCTGAATGATTTTGGAATTTTATGTCATGCCAAGGCATATGTTATATATAGTCAAGTGGAAAATACGGTATATCAGAAAACAGAGTGAGTGGGGGCTGACGCACAAATAGACTGCCCATAATGTATGTAAATTTTATTAAAATAAAAGTCTATTGTGTAAAAACCTCATCTCAGTGTCACATATAAATAAATGAAAAGGACATAGCATTGATGTATGATTATATCATGTTATATAATAACCCAGAACAAATATGTTATTTGAATATGTTTGCAGAGATACTATTTAATTTTTTCACACAAGTATACAAATGTGAAAAGATTCTGAAGTAGAATATGTATCTTAGTGGAAATATTATAGAGATTTAAACAATTTACATGATGCATAAGGACTGATGTAAATTGGAAAGCAGACAATATGTATGAACATTGAAGTAATAGGAGTGAAAGAATAAAATACTCTAAGAAGGAAAATGTCTAGCTCCAAATGCTTATCATTATGCCTGTTTTTTAATACATTGGAAGAATAGGGGAGAGAAGACTTTTAACTCTGACCCTTAACATCCCCACCTATTTGCGGTTCCTCCCCCACAGGGTGGTTCCACTTGAGTATCCCATGGGCCTCAAAACCCAGCATATTGGAGTGGTGCCTGTGGCTCAAAGGAGTAGGGCACTGACCCCATATGCCAGAGGTGGTGAGTTCAAACCCAGCCCCGGCCAAAAACTGCAACCCCCCCCCAAAACAAAAAACAACCCCCCCCCAGCATATTCTAGGTGTGTTTATTTCCTTCCTCCATTTTCCAGAGCTACATTAATAGTATTTCTTGGTCTTCCAAATATATAATTCTGTATCATTTTCTTTTTTTAAAAATTGCCTGTTTCAAAACATTTGCAGAGTGGACTCATTTCTCCTTTAAACTATTGACTCAATTCTAATCTTTCCCATCATAATTTTGTTGCATTCCTGATTCATAGAGACAACACATTTTCTAGAATTTCCTCTTCCAGCTTCTCCCATCTTACTTGTTAGGAGCAAGACTTGTCATCAAAGTCAGTTTTGACCATACAATAGCATGTCATAGGGTCTTTGAAGGGCTTTCCAATTCTTTCTTGAGATTAAAGTTCCTTTTTTTTTTGAGACAGAATCTCATTCTGTTGTCTGGGTGGAATGCCGTGGTGTCATGACTCAAGTCTTCAGTGAGCTCACAAATAGTTTAACTTCCGTTTCCCTTATTATCCTAATTATCTAAGTTGAAAAAAGCAACTAACATATTCTGGTTGGTTTTCCTTACTTACATGCCCCAACTTATATTCTCCATCCCTGCCTGGCTCTGTATACAGTAGAGTCTGTGTCTGCACCTCTCTGACCTTTCTTCAGAACTTGTATCTTTCAGACAAGAGCCAGAAAAGATTCCCCACTTTTAAGGACTCATGTGATTACATTGGGTCCTACTGGATAATCCAGGATAATCTCTCCATCTCAAGGTCTTTAATCTTCACCACATCTACAAAATGCCTGTGCCATGTAAGGTTAACACACTCACAGGTTCTGGGGATTAGGGAGGACATGGACAGTGCTGGGGGGGCCTTACCACAAAAGAATTCAGCCATTTCCCCCCCTAATACTTGTGAGGTTTTATTATTTACAGTTAAGTTCCTAATTCATTTGGAATCTGTCCTGGCATATGGCTGAGGGATAGTTCTAATTTTTATGGTTGAACAATTTGCACATGTGAACCTAATTTTTCAATTGTAAATTTTATGACTTCTAAACACAAATATTTCCCTTGAAAATGTGACATTCAAATTGTGCTATAAGTGTAAAATGCCTACTTTATTTCAAAAACTTAGTGTGAAGGCTTGGCGCCCGTAGCACAGTGGTTACGATGTTAGCCACATGCACTGAGCCTGGCGGGTTCGAGCCTGGCCGGGGCCAGCTAACCAACAATAACAATTACAACAAAAAAATAGCCAGGCACTGTGGTGGTCACCTGTGATCCCAGCTACTTGGGAGGCTGAGGCAAGAGAATCGCTTAAGCCCAAGGGATTGAGGTTGCTGTGAGCTGTGACGCTATGGCACTTGACTGAGGGTGACAAAGTGAGACTCTGTTTCAAAAAACAAACAAACAAAAAATCAGTGTGTAAAGAATATAAAATCTCTCACTAAGAATTTTGATACTGATTACATGTTGAAGTGATGATACTTTGCACACACCAGGGTCAATAAAATGGGTTATCAAAATTCACCTGCTTTTACTTTTAAATGTGGCCACGGAAAATATTTAAACTACACATGTGGCTGATAGCCTATATCTCTATTAGACAGCACTGCCTTACATGAAAGTGGTGTTTATGGAGGAAATGTTCTAAATTGTCTGGCTTAGTGTTCACTTCTACTCCTGTATTAGAAGATAACAGCCTTGACTGTGGGTGAGAGATTTGACAACTCTGTTGAGATTTTGTAGTAACAATTCCAAAATTCTTTCTGGTTCTGGTCATTACAGAGAGGCCAGTATTGGACCAATCCCATCACCAAAAATAACTATAAAAGTTGGGCAGAAACCAGAAAACGAATGTTAGAAAGCATTGGAAAGCAACCGACATGGACAGGCTGTGAGGAACTGGTCTTTGCTAGGAAAGAGTTGCTAGAACTGCCTGGAGTGGGTGTTCCCTGGTTCTTGGCCCCCAGTGCCCAAAATGAGCACTGATGCCTCGCCAAGGAAGTAGTGATCGCAAATACAAAGCTATCACAATCACATACATGTATGGCAGAACAAAAGCAAACTATAAGAAGAATTCATGTACAAGGAGAACAGTCTCAAAGAGTGGGATGTCCCTCTCCATAGTGAGAAGAGACCCTGACATCTGAGCACACAGTCTTTTATAAGCTAACTGGTTTGTCCTGCCTAGTCATAGGATTGGCTGTAAACTCCCACCTTTGTGGCAATCAACAGATTGGGGTTACATAACAAACTTCTTACTACACGTGTGTCTCCCTCCAAAGCTGCCCAAAGAAACCAAGGGGGGGGTGGGGGGCAGTTTTAATTATATGGTAATGAGCCCGATGAGCCGAGGTCCTGCAAGGTCACTAGGGGCTCTTCCCTATGTGTTCTGCCTGAGAATTGCTCAGCGGTAACTTGGTTC